TGAGAGTCTTCAGCAGGGAGTGTAGATTATGAGCCTTTACAATATTAGCCCAGTCTATTGATAATTTGGGTATTTTTATTTTTTGGTCAGCCCCCAATAGTATGTTTAATGTGTCCGATGCACAGATGTGCAAATTTTAGTTATGAAGAATCAAGATATTTTCTCAGTCACTAATGATGTATTATACTTCAGCATAATATTTGATGATGTCTTTGTAAAGGATTCGGAAAAACTTTAAATAATTGCAAGTAATCATAATGAGTTGAGAGCAGCAATTGTCTTAGCTCCCTACATACTGTTTTGTGAATTATTTATAGCTCAGGCTTAACTTATGAATCTTATATTATGAAAAAGTTAATTGTTCATGGTCTAATGCAATGGCTTCTGACGGCGTTCCTTTTTTTTTTTTGGTTTGACACTGCGAAAGATTTTATGACCAATGAGAGTAGTATTTTCTCAATAACCATCTCCTTTTACTACCCTCATCACAGCTATATTTCCTCGAATCCACGTGCGAGACCCTTACAAGCGGCTCGGAATCAGCCGGGAAGCCTCTGAAGATGAGATCCAATCCGCTCGGAATTTCCTGATACGAACGTATGGGGCCCACAAGCCGAGCGTGGATGCAATCGAGTCGGCACACGATAAAATCATAATGCAGAGGTTTCATGAGAGGAAGAACCCTAAGATCAACGTCAAGAAAAAGGTTCGAGAGGTAACACAGCACAAATATGTCCAGGCTGTCGCCAGCAGGTTTCGATCCCCGGCCACTAATGTGATCGTGAAGACTTCGATTGCTTTCATAGCATTGGGGGCCCTCACTGTGCTCTTCCCGACCGAAGAGGGACCCACTCTTCAAGTTGCTGTCTCATTGTTGGTTACCATGTATTTTATTTATGATCGGCTGAAGAGCAAGCTATGGGCATTTCTCTATGGGTGAGTTCTTTACATCTTCCAAAAGAAACAAAAATATTCCATTTTTTTTAGACGGTGATGGAGTATATATCTACTTTGTGATCATATTGTTCCAATATGCAAAACTATGAAAGATAAACTGTGAATTTTGTACAAAGGCCAAAACCCAAGCTGTAACTTCTAGTTCTAAAGTAAATAACTATCCGAGTTTCTTTTGCTTATTATGTTATTTTTTTTTTTTTTTTT